GAACTCAAAGAGGCTGCTGTCCCTCAGCCCATCTGCCAGTGCCTTAAGGGACCAGGGGTGTGGGGTTCTCCGAGGACAAAGACCTCGAGGCTGTGGCTCTTTCTTTGCTGCCACCTTTCCTTTGCCGCTTCAGAACACTCTTAAACATTAAAGTCCCCATTCTGTGGATTTGGGAACTGAGGCACGAGCTTCTTTTCTTGCCCAAGTGCCCTCAGGTGGTACCTGGCCCAGGTAGGATTTGGAGCCAAGAAGTCTGGCTCTGGGCCCTGGGCCCTGTTCTGTCACTAGAGGCCTCAGGCTGGAGTCATTAGGTCAGCTGAACCACAGCAAGGCAGAGCTAGATTCCTTGGGGATTCTTTCTGCATGGCAGCTGAGAGGTGGCCCCTCGTCAGGAGTCCCGCCTGGGCAGATAGTTCCCGGTGGCCCTGGGCTGCAGCTCGGCATGACCTCAGTATCAGGCTTGGCCTCCTAGGCACACTGAGCCCCCAGGTCTCCCACTGGCAGCCTGGCTCTGGCACAGGTTCTGAGGCCCAGCTTCTGGGTGTGGACACCTCAGCTGAGGGCATTGCTGGCCCTCTCCAGGGGGTTATGACAAGTGTCACCGTCCGAGGTCCCAGACAGTGTCTAGAATGGAGTCTTCTAGGATGCTGCTGTTGTCTGCCTACAGCACCCAGGATGCCACTTGGACCAACACAGCGTCCCAACAGCTGCCTACAAGGCCACCGCTGCCGTGGCCGTCATCACTTGCGGGCGGGGAAGCCAGGGACCCATGCTTCGGCTCCGACTGTGTCAGGCGTTGGCGGCTGTGCTGCTGTTGTGACTGCTGTCACTGCTATCTGTAGTCAACAGGGATGCTGTTGCTTTTGTGATTGTTGCCAATGCCAGTGCTGGTGGCAGCTGGCGGCAGGCTGCCCCTGGGCAATCCATCCCCCTGGCTCTAGGAGGCACTGTCCTGTGTCCTCACCCCTGGCTGGTGCCCTTCCTCCACAGCAGGGCTCTGGAGAAGCTGAGGGTGCCCTGCCGGCCTGGCACACGGGCCGCTCAAGGTGCGCTAGACCGCAGCTGCCCCCCGCCCCCGCCCCGGCCCTTTCTCCTCTCTGCTTTTTGTTCGGTCCTTTTGATTTGGGAACAAGGCCCCTTTATGTCTTGCGGGGCCTTGCCAGGCTCCCCGTCCCACCCATGGCTGGGGATTTCCTTTTCATCTGGTGCTGGGAGCCCCGGGCTCGGGGCGCGACTGCAGGGGGATTTGGTGGTGTCACAAAACCTGGGTGACTCAGCTTTCAGTGGGCATTGTGGCCCTGCAGCTTTGATATTTTAAGTGGGAGTCCCAACAAAGGGGAGGCCAGGGGCGGCGGCAAGGTGACGCGGCTCAGAGGTTCTCCTGCGGGCGCGGGCGTCTCAGGCCCGCCTGCCGAAGCGAGGCCCTGCTCCCAGGAGGACTATTCTGTTTCGGCGGGAGGACCGGCCTGTGACCCCAGCCTCTTAAGGGTGATATTGAGTGGGGCTGCTGGCTCAGGCCTGGGGCTCCCCACCTGCCCTGATCTCCCAGGGTTTCCCATGGTCTGTGCCTGTGGCTGCTGTGGCCAGCTCAAGGGCCTGGGCAGACGGGTCCAAGGGAGGCCACAGAAGGCCACCTACCCTTCACTGTCACATCTGTGTCTATACTACACAGGGCAACCTGGAAATAAATACAGATGGATTCGTTTGGCTGTGAAGCCGTCAGGTGAGCCCCTTGGCATCTCTGTGTCTCAGTTTCCTCACCTTTAGGAGTACCCATGTGACCAGGGTGAACGACAGGAGCTGTGCAGTACTTAGCATATGCAAATATTTGTGACTGTACCCAGTGCTGTCAACTCATCCCTGGACCACCCAGGGTCCAGCCTGGAAAGAATTGGCCCCTTGCTCGGCCTCCTGCGGCCTCTGTGCCTCCTCCTGCTGAGTGGACAAAGTGACCAATTAAAAGGACCCCATGAGCGGCACTGACACCGGGCCAGGCCCACTTAGGATCATGACTCAAATCAGGTTTCCATGGTGATGGCTTCCCAGGTGTCCTACTGGCTGTGGACCGACTGTGGTTGATTAGAGACAGGATCGCCAGGGGCACACAATGGCTGGGTTGGGTGTCATAGCTGGTTTCAGATCCTGAGTGTCTGGGGCAAGAGGCCTTGGGCAAGTTCTCCAGTCTTGTTTCCTTCTCTGTAGAGCAGAAGACCCACTGGCCCTAAATGCTTAGTGCCAGGCCACACTTCTGGAGTAGAACGGTCATTTTGAGCAGAGGTCATTTTGCCATGACAGTGCACCTCTTGAAGGAGGCTCCTTGCTCTACTAGACACCTATGACAGGACAGATGACACCTCATGGAGAGGGACAGACACCCCAAGGTCTTCATCCTCCTGATGCTGCTGCCAGTCATGTTGCGTGCTGTGCTTTGGGTGTGTGTGGAGCATTTCAGTGACATGGTCCCTCACTGCTCCCTACAAGCAAGAGCGATCACCATCTCCATGTTGTCAGCAAGACAGCTGGGGCTTGGTATTCTGCACCTTCCTGAATGTAGAGCTGCAAGTGGTAGGACTGGGCTTCGAGCCATGTCTGTGCCGGGTATGGGAAGCCTGTGTCTCTAGGGGACCGTGAGGTCTGTCTTGGATGACTGCTGGAGCCTGTGCCTCCAGGGCAGAAGAGATGCCCCACCCCCCGCAGGCCGAGGGAAGGGCCCCCAGAATTTGAAACATTGAGACCGCATCCCTGGAAGGGCATAGAGCAGAAAGCCTCAGGACACTATGGGAACCGTGCCAGGGTGGCATGGGGGATCCTCCTGTGTCCCTGGGAGAGCGCGTCACACTGGAGAGGGGGTCGCTAGCACAGAGGCCCCCTTGCTGCTGGTCCCTGAAAGACATCTTCGTGGAAATCCTTTAAGATCCCCACAAGATCTCTGTCCCTCCTCCCAGTGAAAAGTGGGGTCTGTGTCCCCACCCCATGAATCCAGGTGGTGGTGACTTGCTTGTCCTCAACATAACCCCATGGGAATGATGCAGGTGACCTCCAGGGTAGAGGGGAGGAAGCCTTGAGCTCCTGCTGTGTGCTCTGGGAATCACTCCTTGAGCCAAATGGCCATGTTGGATGAGGCCCCAGGCCCTATGCGGCACTCTCCACAGGTGCTCTGTCCACTCCCCCCCATAAACCCTGCTACTGGGTGCCCCCACCCAGGCAGATGTATCAGGGGAGGAGCCACCTGGAGACCCAGCATCTGGCTGTCCAGTTGTCCTCAGTCCTCAGGCCCAGCTGTATGTAGAAGAGGTTCACAGTCTCCATGGCACCCACCCAGAGCAGCCCCATGATGGCCAAGTGCTACTGGGTTCTGGGGTGGCTTGTTATGCAGCTATGGTGACAGAGACAGTCTTCCCCCAAGCAGGCATGGAGGCTTAACAACAAATATTCAGCTGAAGTCAACCAATGGCCCTGATGTCCTTGGTCGGGTTAGCCCGGGAAGAATCAACTGGTTTAGACAGGGTTCGGGGGATGAGCCAGAAACAAGGGCGTGTGAATGTCCTGAAATTGCACAGAGAGCACTGTATGGATGTGTGGGGACTATTTGGGTGAAGGAAGCTCCCCATATGTAAAGGATGCATGGGACATACAGTTTACAAAGAGGCCATTGTGATTTCCACAGGTGGAGACCCCTGAGCCTTGGTCCTATAACCTTGTAGCCCCTCCCACCCAGAGGTGGAGCCTGTTCCCCAGCCTAAAGCCAGGTGTGCTTCTGACTTGCTTTGATCAACAGAATGTGCTGGAAATAAGGAGGAGCCACGTCCAAGGCCTCGCTGTCTTGGGACCCAGGAGGCTCAGAAGCTGAGCCTAGGCTGGGTATGGGAGGGTTTGAGGCCTTGTGGCGAACTGGAGGTCCCGTGCCAGGTGAAGTGGCTGGGGCTACCTGGGCCGCGCTGGCACCATCACAGGATGGCAGCTCCTTGAGGGCCCAGGCAAGACGTGCAAGAGGCTCCCAGGTCCCCAGTTCATAGTGGTCACCTCAGTAGCGAGGTGTGAGTGCCACAGGGCTGAAGGGCTCAGGCAGGGGGATTGCTGAGACATCGCACGGCACAGCCCTGGGGGAGGCTCCCAGGACCTTGCTGATTTCCGATCCCCCTCACCACCAGCATCGTTACTTTGAGGCGTTTCCTGTTCTCTGGCCCAACTCGACTTCGCAGCTCCTCTGTGAGGCAGACGGTAGGAAAAGTCATCATCACAAATGTCTGGATGGCGCTTCCTGGAGGCTGGGCCCATCCCACATAAGGGTCAGCATTTGATCCTCATGGCAGTGCTGCACAAGGGGTAGCGTGGACATCTCTGTTTTCCACAGGCAGAGGCAAGCTCAGGGCAGTAAGGAGGTGCACCGGCTCTACCTGGCCATCTGCCTCTTACCTGGAGCCCATCGAGACCTGTCCCCTCAGTCCCTTCCCTGAGCCATCCCAGCAAAGAGTCCAAGAACCCAGGGAGCCAGTCTGGGACAGGCCACACTGGCTGTGGCTTCCAGAGGAGCCCAGGGTGTCAGGCACGGTGCCATCCACTTGAGTATTTTCCTCTGGAGGTTGGGGACCAGCCAAGGTAGCAAACTGGGTCACAGCTTGGTGGGGTGGGAGCTGGTATCCCTAACAGTGACATAGGGAGGCTGCCTGTGAGGCTCCACTGTCCTCTGCTCGCTCGGGTCTCCATGACGGGGTAGCCTAGACCCCACCAAAGGGCCGAGAGAGAAGCAGAACCCACAGCGTCCATGGTGCAGCTGGTCTGGACAGGGTGTGGGCTCCCTCACAGAGCACAGCAGAGACTCCTAAGGACTGCACACCAGGAGCTCCGCCAGGTGCAGGTTCAGGGACAGACACATTCGGAAGCACAGAAGGGCCAGGTGGTGTCACAGACAGGCACTCACTATGACACAGACCCATGTGCTCAGCTTACACAGCCACCAGGACACACATGACCCTAGCTCCTAGAGCTGATGCCACAACTCTGCGGAGACCAGGACAATAGCCAGGGACAAGCATGTCATCCTGGAGTCACACACACTGGAAGTATCCAGAAGAGAGCGAGTTATCTCTTCTGGCCCATTTTTTTCTTGCTGTTCAGTGTGAACAAGGGCAGCAGGAGGGCATGGACACACTCAATGAGGATCCAGGAATTGGGAGTTCTAGAGGAGGCAGGTAAGCGTAGTTCCAGAAGGCTTCCTGGGGCTGGGGGACTGTGGGGCTGTATTGTGTGTGTGACTTTGTGTGGTACAAACTATATCTCCAGCCCCCCCTTTTTAATTTTGAGTCAAGGTCTTACTAAATTGCTCAAGCTGGGCTTGAACTTACAATCCTCCTGCCTCAGGCTCCCAGCGTGTTGGAATGTGAGGCTGTTCTGAAGGCCGAAATGGCTCCATCACAAGGACCCCTACCTCCCTGTCTGTCCAGGATGGCCGTCATCATCCTGGCATCCCCCTCCACGGTCCCGGTCTGGGTGATGCAACCTTGCCCCCACCCCCAAGAATGTACACAGGAAACAAAACACAGATGTGGCTGCCTGCCGTGATGTAGCCCTACTCTTCCTCCAAAATCCTATGCGACACCTCCTGACCTGCAGCCACAGATCAGCACCACGGGAGCTCCAGCTTCCATGGCTCTGCTGAGGGCTGGTGTGTGCTATGACTGCCTCTTGCAAGTCATTGCCTCCTGCAGCGTCTGAGATTCGAACCATACATCCAGACCCATTCCGACCCATTCCCCAGCAACTGTACTGAAATAAAGACAAAGAAATAGATAATTTAATAATAATTTTATTGAGCCTCATACATCCCAACCATGATCATTTCAATCCATTACCCTTGTGAAAAATAAGAACCAGCTACCTTACATTATTTTTCATGCACTTCAAGTTCCTGTGTGCTTTTTATGCTTACAGAAATCCCCACTCAGAAGCTCAGTTTTGTTCAAACCTACTTATTCTGCATTTAGATTGCCTAAAACTTACAGTCAAGAAAGTCATTCACCAAAGTTGTTCCAAATATACATAAAAGTTTTTCTATAACTAAATAGAATGTCTGTTTTAAAATCTAGGTTGTAATTAAATAAAACCAGGGATTCACTTCCTCGTCACACTAGTCAGGTGGCCGGCATGTGTCCCTCACAGCTCTGGCTACCATGCTGGACAGCACAAGTCTAGGTTCCTCCTGTTTGCCCAGTTGGGTAAACTGAGGCCCTGAGAGGAGAAGTATCTTGTCTGGGGCCTCGTAACAGGTTCTGCCTGAGCTGGGACCAAGTCATGCTTTTCAGCGCTATGCCTTCAGTGTGTCCCCCAGGTTCTGTATGTGGTAGACCCAATCTCCAAAGTCACACGCTATGGTATTTGCGAGGTGAAACCTTTAGGAAGTGCGAGGAGTGGGTCAGGATGGTGTCACCCTATCCCCTTCAGATGCCAGTAGTGCTCTCCTGAACCTCCTAGTCTCCGGAACCATGAGGTAACTAAACCTTCTACCTTTATAAACTAGTCGGTCTCAGGTGTTCTGTTATAGCGATGGACCAGACTAAGAATTGAGCTTCATGAATGCATAGCTAAGCCTGACTTGGGACAGGGGCCTCCATCAGCCCAATGTGAGAGCATCCTCGGGGAGGGAATGTAGTGTGATGTGGTTGGCAGCACCTCAGGCATGGAGCTAGGTAGCTGTGGGCTTCCAGAGTATGGGCTTTGGAAGCCTGATTTGTCCCCATGTGGGCAAGGTGGGTCCTCAGCCCTTGTTGTGCAGCCAAAGTGCTGAGACTAGAGACTGAGCAGGGCCTCTCTGCACCTTGGTTTGCCCAGCTGTAAAATGGGGATGGGATGGCAAGGACAGCAGGTTTCCCCTGAGGGGTTGTTGGTGGGCAAGATGCACTGGAGAAACTGGCCACCATGGGCCATGTGACAGAATGGTGCCCTGTGGGGGAAATGTCCAAACCCTGCCTCTCACCTGCTGTGACTGGGACGTTCTGGGGGACAGGGCCTTCGTGGGTGGGATCGATGAAAAAGAAGTCATCTTGGAGTGAGGTGGGCCTTGATCCACGGCAGGTGTCCTGGTATGGAGAGGAAACAGACACACACACACACACTCTGCAGGGGCTGCGCAGAGGTGGAGGCAGAGACCCAAGTGATGCAGCCACTGGCCAAGGAGCAGCACAGAAGGAACCCTGGGAAGGAGCTGAGCTCTGCTGACACCTGGACTGAAGGTTCCTGGCCTCCAGAGTGGTGCAGATTGAGTTTCTGTCTAAAGCCACCTGGTTTATAGGACTCTGCTACGGCAGCCCCAGGAAGCTGAGGTAAAACTGGCATTACAATCCCCAACTCAGGAGGCACAGCAGACTGGCACTCTTACCTGGAGCTTCAGCCCAGGTCAGCCCGGCCTTGGTCTCCCAGCCAAAGCAGGAGTGAGTAACTTGGGGTCTCGGACATCAGCCCACAACCTTCAAGGTTTCCCCCAGTCACAAGCTCACAAGGTGGCTCTGGCTCCGCTGGGCCCTTGAAAGAGGCCGCCTGGGTCCCAATTAGTCATCATTTAAGGTACTTAAGTAATGCTCCCACAATGCACCCTCCAGCCCCTCTGGAGCCTTTTCTCTTGCCCTGCTTTGAAGATAAATGATTTTTAAAGACCACAGTATTCCTTTAAAAGCAGACAAATGGCGGGGCGGGGATGGTTGGAAGGCAGATCTGGCTTGGGGCTCACACAGCCCTGTTCAGCTCAGCAGGCCCAGTGGGCGGGAGGGCTGTGATTGCTGGCAGAGGAAGCCAGGAAGGGCTGATGGGGGTGGCACAGCAAGAGCGGGTATTCACTGCAGCCCAGCTGTAAAGGACAGGAGCGCAAGAATGGCTGGGGTTCCAAGGCTGAACCCTCACTTCCTGATAGAGTAAGTTGCCCAAACCTCTCTGTACCTACCTCCACCTGTGAACCGGACACTGGGCATTAGATATGATCTTTTTTCAGCCAAGGTTGTCGCTGCTGTAGTGCTGAACACAGAGCCCAGCCTGAGAGTGGGGTGAGTCCCTCTGGTCCCCTTGCCTGCTGTGTGACCTTCCTAAGTCTATGGAGCTCTGAGTCTTGCTTAGACACAGGACCCACATACACAAGATTTGCACATAGAGGGGGCTCCCCCATTTTTTCTCCTCCAAGTTTCCTAAGCTGAGGTCCACCTTTGCCTGTCCCCAGTCTGGTGCCACCCTTGACAGAAGCAAGAGCAAGTGCAGTGTCTGGGTCTGGGCCTGACTTCTTGTCCATGGTTCATATCACCAAGCTTCATCTTCCCTAGGGCAAGTGGTGCCAATGTCTGCTCTGTGGGATTTGCCTTTAAATAAACACTGAATCTGTACACTCTTTGCAGATTCTTTTACTGGCCAGGTGTCAGCAGGGCGTGTTTAAGTCACTGTATGCTGATCATGGCCCAATTCCAGGGCTGATCATTGATGTAGAATGCAGTGAATGGCCAAGCAGATTCCCCAGCGGTGTCTGCAGCCCCGGCCTGGTCACTCACCTTCTTTCACTCTGTATTTCTCACCCAAGAAGGATGAGGGACAAGAAATCAGTCTCTGGGTTATGACCAGGGTCAAGGAGTTGTAGGTGCTCACAGTTCCTGCTTCCTATGCACAAGGCTCATTCTACATGTGTCACCACCACGAAGCCCCTGTAAATCAGGTGCAACAGTTTACAAGTGAGTAAACTGAGGCACGGAGCACCGGCAGAATGAGTGAGTCTGGGCACCTCATCTGCTCTGAACCGTGGCACTGTGCCGACTGTGTGGTGGACCGTGTGGGCTCACCTGAGGGTGGCTCTCCACGTGTGATTCCTGGTCACACATCTGCAGCTATGGCGGAAGGGTCCCCAGCTGCATGAGATCCGTCACCAGCCGGGCCGATGGCTGCGGCATAGACTGCAGGGGCAGGCCATCTGGGCAGTTTCCACATGTAGGGGCTGTTTGTTCCCCTCAGCCGTCTCTGTGCCCTGAAGCTGCCGGCCCATCCCTTCCTCAACGCCAGGCCTTAGGAAGCAATTGCCAGGCTCTGCGCACCTCCGCCCCAGGGTCTGCAGTCACCGTCAGTCTCGGGCTGAGGTCAGCTGCTCAGGAGCCACAGGGCTTCACGGGCCTCTGAGGCTCCCGGAAATGCCCGTCTAGAGTTACAGGGCTGAGCGAGCGGACGGGCTGCTGAGCAGCCTCCTCGGTCGCCGCTCACGTGGGGGTCACAGCGCCTCTTTACACGGGGTCTGGTTACCCACCGGACATTCCAGCGTGCCCAGCGAAGTGCTGCTTTTCTTTTAGGTGACGCATACCGACCATCAAAGCCCAGGGCAGCGGAATCTGTGCCTCTGTCCGGAATAATGGGCCTCCTCTGCAGGCACCTGGCTGAGCCTGGAGAATCCAGAAGGAATTTGGAAGTGACACTTTAAAGAAAGTCATTCATGGGGAAATGAGTTATTCTTGTTGTAAAGACAATGGGGCCCGAGGACGTTAGAGAAAATTGAGAGACAGAGCCCTTCACACCCCCATCCCTCTGCACTGCTGTCTGCTGTGGCCACAGGTAGTACAGGGATGGCACATTTTTATATGAAACACCTATTTATATTGTCTCCTATTCAAAAATGAAATATTTATACAACAAATCCTGCTGCTTCTTACTTAGTATTTTATCAGATTTTATGCATTTTCCCAAAACGTATAAGCTTCATAATTATCTTTAAAGCTACACAAGAAATTGTCCTGACAGGCAGTGGGGACAGAGTTCAGGCCTAAAATCCAGAGCTTAGCCCCCTGCTTGTGAACCCTCGCTGCTCTCTGCCTCTTGGTGGCTGAGCACCCACTGAGAAGTTGCTGGGCCTTTCTGTGCTTCAGCTTTCTTGTCTCTCAAATAGGGCTATTGATAGTTGTACCCACTGAGCTTGTTGGGAACACTAAATGAGTTCGTTTTTCTACGATTTGTCGGAAGGGAAGCACGGTGGCCACACCCCTGTAATCCCAGCAGTCAGGGAGGCTGAGGTAGGAGGATTATAAATTAGATTGCAGCCTGGGCAACTTAGGGGGGCCCTGTCTCAAAATAAAAAATAAAAAGTTCTGAGGGGTATAGCTCAGTGCAAAGACCCTGGACTCAGTCCCCAGTACTGAAGGGGAAAAAAAAATCTCCGCAGTATACCGTGTACCCAGAGAGCACCTGCAACTGATTTCAGACTTGGGGCTCCTGGGGACCACAAGCCCATAGAGACTTGTCCTGCCACCCTGCTTGCTCCTTCTCTTCTGTGATCACTCAAAGCCTGGCTCCAACATCCACCCACCAGGGCCAGCAGAGACATCTGTCTGTCTCACAGCCACCGCCTGCAAGCTCTGGGCATTCACCCACTGACAGCCTCCCTTCTCCCTGGCCCCCAGCATGAAAGCTACTGGCAGGAAGGGGATGTGTCTGGCCACCCTGTGTGCTCAGCTCAGTGCCTGGCACAGGGCCAGAGCTGCAGGGGAGTCCCTGAGTGTCTGAGTGACGGAGGAGAGTCGGGGTGAACATGGGTCTCCCACATGGCTATGGTGGCAGTGTCTGCAGCTGGCTGGCCTGGGATTGGCCTGGGAGCTTCTGGGTCCTCCAAGCCATAGAGCATGAGGACTGGCTGGGTCAGTCCGTGCCTTCCGATGAGGTGGCCGAGCTGCAGCTGTGGTCGGTGGCCCCCTCATGGGTGTCAGGGTCTTCCTCCGGGTCTGCTCTGGCAGGCTGGACCATAGAGGGAGTCACTGTGGTTAGACTGGGTACTCGGTGGCCACTGTCAGAGGGTAGCCACCCGCCAGGCTGTCCCAGTGGAAGGTCTGCAGATGTGGATGCTAAGCGCCTCTCTGCAGTCTCTCCTTGGTCCAGGTAGTCTGAGGACTCTTTTGCAAATGTGATGAGGAAGCCAGTCAGCCCCTGGGAAGTCTTTCCAGGGCAATGCTTGCCCTTTCCAGACCCTCAGGGCTCGAGGGCAGGCAGAACTGGACTGTCACTTCCAGGAGAGCCTCTGGCTATGGCTCCCTTGTCCTTTCCCCATTCTACAGGGCAGCAATAGGGTCACATCCCAGGACAGGGTCACACCTTCCCCCCCGGAGGCTAAAAATTAGAAACCCAAAACCACAGAGACATGGGCACTCAGAGCCTGAAAGCCTGGCCTGTGGACTCCAGCTCTGAAGCTGTGGCCTCCGAGTCCCTCTGAGACTGTGGCCTCCAAGTCCCTCTGAGACTGACAAACCTGACCCCCACGGGGTAGAGAGCCAGGGTGTCTCATCTTCCTTCCCAGATGTTTCTGGAGCCCTGGGGGAGCCCCAGAGACCCCAATCCCTGGCTGGGACTCCCAGCCTGGAGAGGCCTGCATGGGGTGGGCTCTGCAGGCTGCTCCAATGGATTTGGATTTGCTGTTGAGGCAGAGGGAAGCTGCCTGCATCTGGGAGACAACTGTGGCTCCTGGGCCATCCTATGCAGGTCACAGAGCCCTGTCCTGGGAGAAGGCAGCTGGGGGCCAAGTGTGGGACCTGTCTGGTCTTAGTAGGCAGCCTTGGGTCTTGGGTGGTAAGGATTGTGTATAATCCCTGAGGCCAGCTGGACTCCAAAGGCCTGGGGGCTCTGGCTGTGCTCACTAGCTTCCTTAGGAGTCCTGCAGCCTAGCATAAAGCCTCCCGGGAGCTTCTGTAAGGTCTGCTTAGTCCAGCTCCAAAGGAGTGGCCAGAACACCTTTAGTCACTGTGCCAGGTCAGGGCTACAACCCACAGTGTGTGGCTGGTGATGAGTGCTAAGAAGGAGAGGGTATTCTTTCCTCTGCCACAAAAGACTCTGTATTATATGCTTTGCACTAGTTGGCTTCCCGTAGCTGGGATGAAATACTCAACACCTGAAACTGAAAGGAGGAGAAGTTTACTTTGTCTCATGGTTTCAGACGGTTCAGTCCATGGTGGTCTGGCTCCAAGGCAGGAATATCATGGCGAAAGGGTGTGGAGGAGAAAAGCTGCTCACCTCATGTCATCCAGGAAGCAGAGAGCAGGAGAAGAACCAGGGATGAGATGAGCCCCTGAGGTCACATTCCCATGACCCACTCAGACACACCCAGACTCGTGCTTTACTAATCTAGGTGTCACTCAAGCCAACCAAGATAACAATCGAGAGTAATCACCACACGGCCCATTGTATAAAGTGTTCAGAATAGGCAGGAGCATACAAGCAGAAAAGAGGAACAGGGAGAAGAGAGAGAGATTGCTAACGGGCAGAGATGCATTCAGAGGAGTAATAAAAACTTTCAAAGTAGACAGAGGTGATAACTACACAACTCTGTGACTATAAATCCCCAGCACTCTAAACCTCTTACATGGGTGAAATGTATGGAATATGGACTCTATCTCAACAAAGCTGGCATAAAAACAAATAAGTTTGTGTATTCGCATCAAAGAAAGGGCAATGCCCAGATTGTCTTAGCAAGGACAGGGCAGGGTGGGCAACACATCCAAGCCCCATCCATCTTGTGTGCTGGGCCTGGCACTGTCACTGAGCAGCCGGGACCTCGTGTCTCAGCCACAGTGCTGACTTATGAAAACGTGGCAGCTCAAGAGAACCTGAAGCTCAGTACCAGTGAACAAAATGTAGCTCACATCACAATTTTACAAATGCTGCCTCCACGGTGGCAGAGGACACAGATGCCACTGGGCAATGGGACTAAGTCAAGGCCTGGCTGGTGCTTCTTCTGCTTTTCTTGGGGGCCTCATCATGAGACCCCTACTCCACATTCTCTCCTGGGAGCCCTCATGCTCCCAGGACTGTGGACAGGGACTGTGGGACTGTGGGAAGATGCCTGAGACTCTCAGCAGATTTCTTTTCTAGTCCAGATCTTGTTACATTGCATCTCCCCTAGCCCCCGCCCTGGAGCCAGAGCCCCTGGTCAGCCTTGGTGCAGGTCAGCAGGGTGAGGGTTAAAGGCTGCTGCAGGGTCCAGGGCAAAGACACCTGCTGCATCAGGAGGGAGCAGCCCCTTCCTTCCCAGGTGAGATCAGATGCTGCAGGGACGAAGGAGGAAGCAGACTGGCAGCCAGCCAGCCTCAGACCTACAACCCTAAAGGAATGACCCTAAAGGTCAGGGGTGTTTGACTTGGATTATGATGCCTGCTCTTCACCAGAGGAAGAGAGCTAAAGGACCTTTTAGACTATATGTGGGGAAAGTTTTCTTTGTGAGCTGGCTGGTGGGCTCTGAGACATTCTTTACATCCATGTGCATGTCCCAGAGAGACATACAGCACTTCTAAGCAGCCCAGTGAAGGGATCGCCCAGGAATGACCCAGAACTTCCACCCTCCTAATGATGCTCTGTGGATTAATTCCGTGCATTGTCGCATAGTCAGTGGCTAAGAGGATTTAAAATCCAAGCGGGAACAATGTTGGGGCCAATTAGCTACATCCTGTAGGCCTTGAACAAGCAGACCTTGGTTCCACCTAGCTGGCTCCACATCCCCTACTTGAAGTCAAGTGGGGCTTTGCTTAAGCCCTCTGTCTACCCACTCATGTGTCTGTTCCCTAGGTGGAATGAATGGATCTTTTGGGGTTTTACTGTACCATGTGGAGAGGGGTGTGTGGGGTGGGGGTCCCGGACTCTCCCCAGGTCCAAGCACTACTCATCATTACTGAGGGAGGGGGCTCTCGTTTGTCCCAAGACACCTGTTTAAAATGAACCCCATGATGACAGATGGGGGTGATTCTGTACTGACATGTGAAGAACCAGCCCGGTCCCCCTCAAGCACAGCTACCTGACCAAGGGTCTTGCTGGCCACACCTAGCACACCAACTTTTATTAATGGTCAGAGTAATACCATTGCACAATGCAAATCAAGTCAGTCACATCAGACCAAAGTATAAGTAAGGATCACATCCCTGGCTTGTGCTTCTTCCCAGGGGAAACCCTTCCTGTTGTGTCTTGCACATCTTCCAGAACCTTCTGTGCATCTGCCCTGTGTGCAAACACCACTGACAACATTCACACAATAACCAGCGCCAGACTCCACTTGACAGGTAAGGATGTTGAGGCCCTCAGGGGTCGCTATGCCTTCTCCACACAGCTGTCTGTGGCAGGTCACAAGTGGAGTTACGCTCCGTATGCCACGTTGCCGGGCAGCTTCCCTTATTGGCTGCCCTGAGCACTTCTGCCCTGACAGTTACCCAGCTCATGCTGTGTCCAAGTCTCACGTGTGGGGTCATTTGCTTTGATGTCTGGCTGAACAAGGCCATAGTGGACATGCTTGGGCATGCTTTGCTTTGCCTTTCCTTTCCCTCTCTGTCTCTCTCCTTCCTTCCAGTCATGGGGTTTGAACCCAAGACCCTCACACTGAGCTACATGCCTAGCTATTTTTATTGAATTTTTTTCTTTTGAAGCAGGGTCATATTAAGTTGCTAAGTTGCCCAAGTCTTACTAAATTGCAACCTTCCTGCCTCTGCCACTCAGCATACTGAGACTACAGGCTTGAGCCACCATGTGTAGCTCCTGGGCTCATCCCTTTACAGACTTTTTAGGGTCACACTACTGCTGACATTCCCTGTAACTGGGATCTTGGTTTCCACATCCTCCAACCCAGCAGTAACATATCTATTGTCAGTCTTGACAGTAGGCCCTGCTGAACTTGTTGGCTGGACAGTGTGGACAGCGCCTTGGCACTAGCTCGATGCTTCCATTGACTGGTCTTGTATGTAGGACTTCTAGCCTTGCTGTTTTATTTTTTGAGATAGCTCACTGAGATGCTCAGGTCAGGATTGACTCGTGATCATCCTGCCTCCACCAGCCTAATGACGCTCACAGAATGCAAGATTAAAGGCACATATTACCACATCGGTCTGGGACAATGCTGTTTTCTTCCCTCCATCTGCTATCTGTGGTGAGGCTCATAACAAGGTCTTTTTCCTTCTGCTGTTTCCTCCAATGTCCAACATTAGCAGGTTGAGGGTGCTGCGATGATTTCATTCATTTACTCAATCATTCATTCATTCATGCCACCTCCATGGCTGCCAGACCCAGCCCCACCCTGGCAGGGCCTTGAGAAGCAGAGGGGCACAGGACACTCCTGTGGGTGAGTTGGCCATGCAGCTACCCCTTGCTGAGCAGGTGACCCCAGTGCCACTGGGGAATGCTGACTTGAGGGAGAGATTCTGGGAGGGACGGGAAAAGTCTAGATGATCTGGAAAAGGGGCAGGCACTGTAAGTGGCAGGAACAGCTGGGGCGGAGGTCCCAGAGTGAGTTCTTGGGATCTTGGAGAAGTGCAAGGTGACAGGTAAGGGTGAAGAGGGCGGGAGGAGGAGTTGGAGAGAGGGGGAAGGGTGTGCCTGAGTCAAGTGAGGATGTGGACGTCACCCCAAAGACAGGGACAGCAGCACAGACTCGGATAATTTGGAAGGACATGGTGCAGGCAGTGGGCAGTGCCCCCATTAGCTGGTAGCCACAGAGCTCATGCTATAGCAACATTGTGTGGATGTGGGCAGGGGCCACTCTCAACTCAGCCAGTGGGATGCGTGTCTGTCTCCCCAGCCTCTTGAAACTGGGAGGTGAGAGGCTGCTGGGCAACGGGCAAGTGTGCATCCAGCCCCTACTCCTCCCCGTGCTCGCTCACTGCCCACCTGGATGGAGGCTGCGCTGCATGGCGGTGGCGTCCCTACAGGAACCAGGTGGCTGCAAAACTTCTCTTGCTCTGTGCAATCAAGGGAGCTTGGAAAACCACAGCTTAAGGGCTTTGCTTTGATTTGTCAAGAGTGTGGGACCGGGAAAGAACAGGGCCACAAGTTCAGGGTCCCCAGAAGCTGCCTGCTTCCTTGGCGACGTGGTCCATGAAGCTGCCCTCCAGAGAATCCACTGGGAGGAAATGAGTCCCAGCGGCTTGGCCATCCATGGCTAGTCACCAGGCTCCATGAGGCCACATGGGCCCAGCAGAGCCAGGCAGGCACTTGGCCTCTTTTCCACAGTGGTCATGGTAGCCGCAAAGCAGCCTCGCACTACCAGTGCCCCAAGAGCTTCCTCATGCAGCCAACCCTGCCCTAGTTCCCTGCCTGACGCCTGCTGGCAGCCCATATAAGACAGCACTGGAGATGAACAGTCTGCAGCCCTCTAGAGTGACAGGGCCAGACCCCAGGATCAGGATGGTGTGTGGGGACCACAGGTAGCTGGGAGGCACTCACCTCTCTGGGGACAGAGCTGCCAGATGCTGTGACCCAGGCCCTGTGGGGACACAGGAGCTTCTGGTAATGGTTAAGGTAAAGGGCAACATGTGGCAGGGGGGGGACAGGGACTGTGCACAGGGGTGGCACAGGCTGCTTTTGTGGAATTGCCTTGTATCCACAGCTCTTCCTTGAGCCTGGCTGACCGGTAGCAACTGGATTCTGTGGAAAGAAGTGGGGTACACTGGACACCTCTCTTCCCCACCATACCCCCAGGACTGGGGTGCATGTGTCACCACGAGTTCTTGATATGGGCTGAGTTGTCCTCCAGATTCACAAGCCCCAGGACCTCAGGCCTGACTGTGTCTGCACGTGGCTGTCAAGGCGCTGTCACCTTTGAGGAGATCATCACACTAAAGTGAAGTCACAGGGGGCCCTGCACCAATGTGCCTAGGGAAGAGGGGAAATGTGGACACAGACACACACAGGGATGAACCACATGGGGACACAGGGAGGGGATGCCCACTGCAAGCCAAGGGGAGAGGCCTCAGGAGGGACCAGACACAAAGGACAGTGACTGTCTGCTGTTTAGCTGCTGCCTGACTGCAGTGCTCTATAGTGTGGCCCAAAGTCCAGAGAGCTCCCAGAAAGCTGCCTGGGGAGAAGGACTGCAGAGATGACACCCCAGGGAGATGGTTTCTTCACAGAGTGACCAAGGGTTCTCAAGTCATCGCGGTGATGATTGAGCAACATTATGCGCACAGCCAGCCCTCCTCTCCTTGGACTCTACATTCAAGAATCCAACCCACTGTAGACAGGAAGTATTGCCTGGGCTATTTTGCTCTATTTTTGGTATTAATAATTGAACCTAGAAAATTTTAAAAATTTAAAAAGTAACAATAGCTGAACCCAGGACCTCAGACAAGCTAAGCAACAGCTCTCCCACCCCCTTTTTTCCCCGTTAAATTTATTGGTGCATTTAAGGTAAACAACACAATTACATTCATCAATGGGATCTTGTACCTTTACATGATGTATCTTGGTTCTTATTTTCTCCCCATTCCCCTACCCTCCCTTCACCCCCGTCACCCTTCCCTATTTACAAAGACTTTGCTTCCATTTTTCCTTTTTTCGTATTTTTTCTTTTCCCTTATTTCCTTTCCCCTATCCTTCCCACTTCTCCCACCCCTTTTGAGACGGTTTCACTGCATTGCCCAGGCTGACCTCGACCTTTTGATCCTCCTGACTCAGCATCCTGAAGAGCTGATTACAGGTGCCTGGCTTGTGTTAGGTATTTTACATCATCCAGAGCTCATTCAAAGTATACAGATGCAGGTGTGGTCCTGGGACTGGTGGGGAGAGGCACGGGACAGGAAGGGGCATTGAGGCTGGGTCTGGAAGAGGCCAATTAGTCCCCTGGCAGCGGCCAACCCTTGGGAAGCAAGTGATCAGCAGAGGATGGGTTCTGGGGCTTCCTGGGCCTGGGAGGCTGGGAAAGCGGGGTGGAGAGGAAGGCTCACTGGGTAGGGGAGCCATGGAGGCCTGTGGGAAGTGTGCTGGAGGCACAGCCATGTGGCTGGGATCCTCCTAACACTAAAGCCTCTGTCCTGAAGGCTGCTTTCAGGCAACTTCTGCCCTCAGGGGTCAGGGGAACAGGCAGACCTGCAGTGAGCCATGGGAGGCACTGAGGCCGCTGTACCTGCATCCTGGAATAACTTGGAGCAGTACCACTTTCCTCTTAAAGGCCTGGAGGGAGACTCGAATGACAAATCACGTTCCCCAAAGATGGCAGCTAGGAATGTGGCAGTACTCTTTCCACTGAGTTTCTGGCTTGACTTACGGAGCATCACTGGCCTGAGAAGCCAGTCTCTCCAAGGGTAATGTGGCAAGGCCAAGGCCACACTGCAAGGAAGTGATTAGGGCATGCATCAGTATGTCCTGTGCTGCCACTGTGTGGGGAGCAACAGGGAACAGGCCCAGCAGCAACCCCTTCTCTCAGGGCTTCCCTGGGGGTGGGGAGAGCCACCCTACCCCTGACCCACCCTGGCTCTAGGGTCCTGGAAGACGTGGTGGGGGGTGGCAAAAGCTGACCCCAGAGGGAAGGCTAGAGACCAGGAAGGAAATGTGGGAGCTGGAGGGGGGCTGGGTATGGAGCAGGAGGGAGACTATGTCCCACATTCCTTCCACCCCATTTTTCTGGCTCCTCCCAGACTTCTAGGGGTCACTAGCCAGGGGGGAGGCTGGGACTGAATAGCAGGAAGCCCTGCCCCCCCCACTTCCTCTCTCTCTCTCTCTCTCTCTCTCTCTCTCTCTCTCTCTCTCATCTAGACCCAGAATGGAGAGGTACCTCAATCCCAGGAGCAGATGGGGCATGGATGCACCTCGTGTGAATCTTCTATGCTCTTTTAGGAAGTTCAAGTGTCAATCAAATTCCAGCCCAGGGAGCCCTGTTGTGCAAGATCCCCTCTTGATCTGTCCCTGCATTGTCCTGTCCCCTATAAAGCAAGCTCCATCACTGCTAGATCTGAGGCTCTAGAAAATCATGACCTGGTCTTGGGCTGATCAAGGCTTGCATCAGCTGGAGTGGCCTCAAGAATGACAGGCTGCCCTGGGTGTCAGGACACGTGTCTGGAAATGTGTGTACTAGCCCCTGTAGCTCACGGGAGTGCCCCGGGGTCCTGCACATTCCCCAGAATCCCAAATCTGGACCCAGATGGAAGCGAGAGCATGCTGTCCCACCTGGCTCCTCTATAATCAACTTGAGGCCCAGACTGAGCCTAGACCTCTGGCCCCTCAGGGTGCTCCACCCAGCCAGCAGAGTCCCCTTGCTGGAGCCTGCTCACCTGTATCTTGGTGGCCACAGGGGAAGAGAGTCCAGGGCATTGAGAGAAGGGAATGGGGATGGTTTCCCGTCATCACCCTCTACCCAAGGGCACCCAGAGATGCATGCTGTTCCTACATCACCCAGGGTGCCACCCTAGGGCATGTACACCACTGCCCCAGGTCACCAGGTGGGTACCGCCCTGCCCTTGGGGTATTTCTGCCCTCCTCTCCCTTCAGTGCAGCCACCAGACTCCCTGTGCTTCCTAAGTGTCTTCCGCTGCCTTGGGGTCTCTGCCTCCTCTTTCTGTCTCTCTTCCTGCATCTTTGGCAACATAATATCTGAGTATCTCCTGTCTCTTTCTCCCTGCTTTTCACCGTGCCCGTCTTGCTCTATCGGCACCTCCAGGCCTCTTTGCCTCTGTGCCCACTTCTCTAGCTCTTCTGTTCCTCCTCCTTCCTCCCAGCCCGCCTCTGGACACTGCCAGGACAGGACGCCCCGGGCCTACTCCACCGGCGGGCGCAAAACCAGCGCGTGCCGGTGGATCTGCCCGGGGAGAAACAAGATAAAGCGCAGCGGGCCGGCGGTCCCACCACACCGGCCACTCGCCCGGGGAGGCAGAGCACGACGCCCCGGCTCCTGCAGGAATCGTCCGGAGCAGATACAAACCGGGGTCCCCCACGAGCCGCGCCCAGACCTCCCCTCCGCCGCACCCCGCGGGCCCCTTCATTACGCGCCGCCTTTGATGGGCGTTTGTCAGCCGCACTTTCCCGCAAGTCGTTTTCGCGGACATCAGTCATCCGCGGCCCCATTGTGCAGGGGGATT